TTTGCCTTTTGCAAGATACGTTCGTAAGTAGGTGCTATAATTTTAAGCTTTCCCGTAAATTTACTTTGGCAAGAGTACCGTATTTAAATCATCGATCTTTTCTAAGTAGATACCGTATTAATTTTTGATACATTCCGCAAATTTATTTTGCATTCATACTCGTTTAATTTTTGCTTTTACCATTGAAAGATTTATTATTCAATGCTTTTACATTAAATTACCCGCCCCGTATACCGCTTTTACTTTTTTATTATACCTGCATTAGAATCGCTGTTTAAAACACGCCGAGCTTTAAAGGTTGCTAAGTAACGTTACTTCAAATATGACATATGCAACTATATTTGTAATGTGGGATTGAAATAAAATATCCCCTCGGATCGCTTTTTGCAAATGAAAAAGGTGTCTTTGGCTCGTATCCTTTGTGGGAAGCTTCACAAACGCAAGTTTTGAATGAATGCACCGAAGGGTAGAAGATTTAAATACCTACCTTTGATATTTCCTTCATATATGACATCATGAACAATGCATTTAAGACATTGTTTGGAAGATGCTTCCTATTATTCCACGCCATTTTCATATATTCTTTATAATAGGCTTTTGCATTTGGATGTTACATGTTCTTCTGCTGCAGAAATAAGCCACTGAATAGACGGTATATTGTCTTCTTCAACCAAAGTCATTTTATTTACAAAGACGGTGATTTTTAATATGCGAACGTCAAGTGACATTGCCATAGCAATCACGAAATGACAAATAATCAGCCCACTTAATTAGAAATGTATTCGAGTATAACCTCAATATGATTTCATTGTATTTCCCTTATTTCCGCTGCGCGTCGTGCCGTGCCATTAAACTCGTTGCGCGTGCTTTAAAGACTTGATTATACACTTGTTTCTTAATATACTATTTTTGGCATACGATTCGCAGCCGTTCCGAAACCTTGTCCAGGCGCATCAAGTACGCCTCCCTTGGTAGCGTTCAAATCCGTCCGCCTTTCTCATTCCATCAGGTTCCTTTTGAGTTGCAAGTAAATTATACTTAATTTAATTGTGAATAGATAGTTTCTTTATACTTAATTAAATTTAATTTAACTAATTACACCGTTTAATTTTAAAAGCTCGCCCATTGCGAGCAAACTACCGAAGTTCGTCGCAATTTGGGTATGGAGTTTGAACAAAAGCATAGCGAATCAAAACAAATTCGAAAAATGTTTATTTTTACTGAACTTACATAATATATTGTTGAGAGAGAGTCTTTAGAGCTTACTTCGTAGGTACATATCCGTTATATTTTTGGAGGCTGCACTCAATTGGTTGGTGGGGAATGTTCCTAAATGTTCGATATATCAATAAAAAATTCTCAGAGATAACTTCCAACGTATGATTCTCTATAGTAATCAGTATTGCGGCCTCTTGCTACTAAATAAATGTTATTTTTGACAAAGTTTGGTACTGTTTGTGTCTGTAGAATGCTTTAGAAAGCATATAGTGATAATATCACATTCGTCACACCGTCGAAAAAGGTATCTATTAACACTACGTGAGTGGAAGCATATCTCACATTGTTAAACTTCAATATTATATTTCACTTTTCATAAAAAAAATATATTAAAGTTCGATTTTGATACCTACAGACGGGTATAAAAAATACCTAGAATTGTCTGACACCGCAATTGTTCCCCTGGCAGTTATTAAATTTAATTTATGTGCGAAATTTATATATCAATAGAATTGGCAACAAAATTTGTTTTACGTATATTGCATTAAGGGTATAAAATGGTATGAAATGTTATGATTATGAAGATGGAATTTTTATGTATGCTATTAACGTATATACCTGCATATAATAATTTTTGCATATTATACAATGCGATCAAAAATGAGTTGCTGTCGAGTCGCCTTTGGAAATTTTTGTTTACATGGGAAATCGTATTTAACTTGAACTTCCAAAGGCGACTCGACAGCATTTTTGATCGCCCGTTATGAGTTGTATTAGAAATCATATCAGTTTGTCATCGATAGGCGAGGATTTTAGGAGATATTCGAAAATCGAGATCTGTAAATGGTATATCTTGATACGTGCAATGTTTTATCTGCGTCCGGATGCCTTAGTAGACATACTATACATGCGTGGTGTAGAAACGGTTTACGGTAGGGATTTCAATGGTCATTTAATTAATTTAGAGCAAAGTTGCAAATAGGTTTCTTGTAGCTTGAAAAATTCTGCATCTGCTCATGTCCTCATTTATTATTTTTCAGTTTGGGATTAAAAAAGGCACTAAAAAATTTAAATGTAGCATTTGCGTAATCAATACGCTGCATGGACGAATAATTTCACGGCACGAGTGATTTTTACTAAAATGGTAATTTATAAGTAATAAGTACCTAATTTCTCTGATTTCCACAACAAAAAATTACAATTGGGCACATGGGTAGACGCAGAACTCATTAACTAGATTAATTATTGGAGAAAACATTTCGCTATAAAGAAATTACCATTGTCCGGAAAACTTAGATTCGTCACAGAGAAAGGGGCGCAAAACAATATTTTTGGAAGGGATTCCATTTTAATCGTCTTTCGTAGGAAATTCTTCTTGCATTTCCGTCACTTATTGCACAGGTTGTATTAGGCTGTTAACATTCTTAGCACACTCTATTTATATCGAAGATGCTCACATAAAGGTAAAGTGTTAACTAAATTAAATTTACACGAACTTCCCCAAACTTATCCAAACTGAATTTGACGAAGGTATCGAGTGGCAAAGGGATTCTTTGTTTGATGAAAATTGATAGACATTAGCTGCGACATATTTACACTCAACGTAACATGGTGTTCTTTCCAACTAAAAGTTCCTCCTTTTAATAAATCCGTTTCCCGGAAATTAACAACAAAATGCTTCAACATGACAATTTGCAAGTTTCATTTTATTCTCTAAGTTAGGTACACAGTTTTGTTGGCACATGGGATCGTGTGACACGTCCTTTGAAATTTTCAGGAATTTACTTACTCATCTGTGGACCGGCGAATTTAGTCATTTGTTCAATCAGTTTTACAGTGGTATCGATAGGGTAGGATCGGTAGTAAAAGAAAGCGGCTTGACATAGCGGGAGTATAGACCCTTGGAACCAATTTCACCCGCAGTAGGTACTGGAAAAATCATCCGTTAGTATTCCACGTCGAAACATCAATTGCGGTTGTTTATAGCGTTTAAAAAATATCGCAATCTACACTGTCGAAAGCTTTGCAGAAAAAAGACAAGGAGAGAATCACGACCGTATTACATACAGGAATCCATAGTAGGTATACTAACCAGTGATTATGAAAACCTGTTGAAGACGTCGATATCTTTCAGTACATAGACTGTAACCGTTCCATATATTTAAATTTACGAACTTGCTTTTTAGAGCATTATTGAAAAAAAGATACGCTATAGAATTCGTTACGGCTGGGTGGCTGTCCGCCTGAGATCTCAGCAATTACAATAGCTGGAGACTTCAAATTTTCATTAAAAGCTGTCTGCTATAGTGTAGATGTGCAGGCTCTAGTCTATTTTGAGATAGATTACTCGTGAGATATTTTATTGCTAAGTATACTGGTATTTATACCATAACTCTCTAAGGAACCTATTTCCAATTTGAAAAGGGAAAGACACCATCATAATCTGGCAGCTTTAGGTTCGTTGTAAGCTATTGACTGTGATACATTGCGAAAAACGCGTGGTGTCAATTGAAGATTTATAATGAATTTACCTAACTGTATTGATTGCGTCTGAAAGTGGGTATTATATAAAACAATCGGATCTTAACTCAGACCTTATATTCTATCCTTGCACTGGATACAAATTAGGATACGTGCGTTTAATCAAATGACAGTGACATATGATAAACGACCATATGATTTATAAAATATTTAGATGAAAATTTCGTCACAAAGTTAACTTTGCCACTAGAATTTCATACTATGTATTAATTATTAACCTTAATCTTAACACCGATTTAATTATGATAACAATTCGCAACATGTATTTCAAACAATTTTCTGCTTAGGGAACTGCGTGAGGAACGTAGCCCACACTCCACCTTTAATTTAAGTAAAATGTTAATAATGGAAAATGTTGGTAGTCGCCGAAGGAATTATTTTCATTTACGGTTCAGAAGTTTTGGCATTTATTCACCAAGTAAATAAATTGACTTATTACACAGACAGGGTGCTTTGAAATTAAAAGTTTATTTTTCCAAAATGCGAAAGCCCGTTCTCAATGATAATTGCATGTCTATACTCGTATACGGAATTATTATGTTTTATATTGAATGAACATTTGCTTTCTATGCGTTGTCTCTTACGGGTACGAATTTGAATGTATAAACTTAATGTGGAGATAGCCTTGCATTACTTTTTAAAAGGTATGCAAATATTATGCAAATCTACCAAGTCTACGTCCATGCGTTCGAATGCCATGCATATCCAAGTGTCGCCGTTCTATACTTTTACTTTGAAGCAATACAGGTATGAAGTTATTGTTTGAACGATTATGGTCCGAAGATGCATTGCGTCCGTTGCGCCTGGTAACAAGCAAATTATGAATTTATTTATATTTATGGGCGATAGCAATTGGTAATCATCGCCTTTCACTACGACTTTCAATAAAACAGTTGGATTGATTAAAGTTGTATATCCACTAAGCTCGGCGAGCTTTTTGGCGTATGGATTTCAGTAAGAGTTTAAGTTCGAACACAGAGAAATAAGCTTGGCGCCGACAGTAACTATTATTAATAGAAAGTTTAAAAGGGAAGAACCAGTGCTTCATACCCAATAGGAAGTGTATGTACCTTTAAATTGAAGACTCGTACACATGTTATGAATAAGTGAAGAGTGCTTGACACAAGATTGCGTACAAATTGTCATCTTTTCTCTATTCTGCTATAAACGGGTTTAGACTGTTCAACATCTCATAGAAAGATATTCCTAATGTAATTTCAACTGCATAAAAAGTTACGTACATAGTAAAGGCAGCGCAGTACATCCTCTTGATACCATTAGGAAAATCGACACCCACTCACTCGTAACAACAACATACAACACTATATTTAAATAATCTTGAAAGTAACAAAGGTGAATAACAATTTCTATGAAGTGATCACAGAAAACTTTACGCAATGACTTCTGCTAATTAAAAACCATCTCGAAATACTGCCTATTGGAAATTTGAACGCCCTTTTCATTATTTACTAAAATAAATAATGCCTAATAATTAATTAATTCCCGATAATTGCACATCTAATTAAACAAACTTGATCACTATAAGGTATACGACATAATCCTCATGTTACGTGATGAATTCGTAGTGCAGGTAATACCGTTCCCGAAAGTTAGAAAGCTACTAACACTCTTCCCATAGTCCTGCAATAGCATCTGTCAAGATCCTGTGGGATAACCAACTCGTGAAAGTTCGGATTTTGTCGTACATTTTCGGTACTGAATCTTTTATTAGCGCAACTTTGTTAAAATAATTTTAGATGCAGAGCTTCGATTTATTGAAACCAAGTAGAGATGAAAAATTTAACTTTGTTTAAAAGTAACGTAATTTAACGCTATGGCCTGTGGATGAGAGTTACGAAGGTTACGTTCGAAATTGTAATGTACAGGCTTAGCAAAACGTACAGTAAATTAAACTACTCCCAGTTTATGGGAACGAAAGATAACCTGTGCTTTTGTCGTAATAAAGTATTAAAGGGATGCCGAGCAGCGTTCATCTGGAGACACTATTTGTGGACGTTCATTTTGAGAAAGAATGTCAGACATTTCCTTTGCTGTATTTGGCATTCATTGCGCTGTGTAAAATCAAACAAATGTATATATTAAATTAATACACAATCGGTAATAGAAACTAATTTTAGCGACTAGTGTGTCAATTCTACGGAAAGAATTGAAAAACTTTCGGTAGTTGTCTGCTCTAATTTTAGTACAATTTAGCACCGTGTCTGGAATATTGCTTCACGTTGACATTTCCCTAGAAACTTCCGTTGTTCCAATTTATGTGGTGAAAGCTGCTTCAGATTCAGTTCTGTTACTTTATTCGTTGACAAAACTTGAACATACCCTTCACCTGCTGACATTAATTTCTTAGATTACCTAAGCATGTATTGTTTTACAGTTGCATTGTGCGAATAATTTTATCAAGATGAATATGAATTCGCTCTTTTATTGCCATTGTTGTGGCATCTAAATAGGTGTTTACGCGGCACACAAACAGCATTCGCATTGCACGTATTAACCATTATTTCGGAGGTGTTATTAAAGATGCCGCACACGTATTTTGAAAATAATTTTCCTCGCGAATGCCTTTTGAGTTCTAAAATCTCTCTGTACTAAAGCGAGATTTATTTAGATTGTTCACTATCTTATAAATTTCATTGCTTTTTTTAGGTACCGTAGTTTACTGCGCGCATCCATCTATAGAAAGGAATCATAAAACGATTTTTTTTCTTATATCATAAGATGTATAAATGCACTTTCGCCTCTTGTTTTTAAGTCCTTTGTAGAAAATCACAATCGAAATTAAAGGAAAAGGCACATGTCCATGTTATGGACATGTACGTCTTGCTCTATTGGGAAAAGTGGTATGACCCAACTAATTTTGCTTAACCGAAAATTAAACCAATGGTTTACAAACGTGGATCTGACTGCCAGTTACCACTATGTAAAGAAATCTTTACACTACCAAACTATCCAGCTATTTTCCTTACAAACTTCGATCTGCGTCGAAAACTTGCTTTTGATCTGTCAAAACCAAAATTAAAGCATAATTAACGATCACATCAAAAAATGGAGCAAAAAAGAACCTTGATCGAAAACTAATTTTTCTATTTCGGTGTCACAATGATGATTTTGTACAACTGTTTTCGGCCGAAAACAGTTGTACAAAGACAGTGATTATAGTCGTTTTTTTTTGGTAACTCATCTCTTAAGTTGGCAGTTACTAGTTAGTACAAGTAGGTACTTCGTTGGGTACTTCCATGTTTGAACTTCAAAATGCCAGTCTTACTACGCTGCCAACCTAAAACTTAACGGCATAAAAAGTGTTCCCAACATAAAACATGTTAGTTCTAATGTTCCCTATAGTTTCTGATAATGATTTTTTTAATTAAATTAAAGCACCGAAATAGAAAAAATAGTATGAAAAACGCGTGTTACAATGCTTTATTGTAATACTCCTATCTTGCGGACACTCGTGGCTACGCTTCGCGTCGCCACTCGTGCCACAAGATAGTCGTATTACAATAGGTCGCATTGTAACACTTGTCTTTCAATATACTATTTTCAGATCGATTCTGATAGATTTTTGACCAATTGAATCGAAAACCGGCGCATAATAATTTATGGTCAGATTTTCACATGTAAAAACCAACTTTTTAAATTTTATTTTACAAAATACAATGATTTGAGACATGAAACCAACCAATAAAAAGGTATTCAAAAATAGCAGTTAGAAAATTGCCCAGTATACCGGACATGATCGTTACTATTTGATTTACATGACATACAGTGCGTTAGAGGTAAGAGTGTCACCTCAATATCGCTTTTATTTGGCCAGATACGAAAAATTTGTTAAATATCCATATCCTTTTGTATGTAACATTGCGATCTATCCGATTGCGTACTGAAACGTCCGGGATCACTTCCAATTTAACTGAAAATCCATGCAAGTTTTCTTTTTCAAACGCAATGCTTATGAGTGCAGATGGAGAAGACCTCATAGAATCTAGGTACAGAGCAGAGAGATAGAAAGAGTACTTAGGCGGACAAACCGTTAGCAGAATTGGCATACTTAAGTTGGATAAAACTATAAAGGACTAAGCAACAGGAGCAGATGCAGTATCAGCAGAATTAATAACACATTCGAGAACAAAAGTGCAAGATATGCTCCTTTAAACTGACAAATAGACTGCCTGCCATAAGTATCTGAACACCCAGTGCACTTTGATCAATTTTGATGAAATTTTCAGCACAGTCGTATTACGAAATAAGAAACGATGAAAATTTGTACATTATACAAATTACAGTAATACTTTATTTTTTATTTTATTTTATTTTATTTTATTTTATTTTATTTTATTTTATTTTATTTTATTTTATTTTATTTTATTTTTTTTTATTTTATTTTATTTTATTTTATTTTATTTTATTTTATTTTATTTTATTTTATTTTATTTTATTTTATTTTATTTTATTTTTTTATTTTAAATAAAAATAATAACGCTTCCATGGCCTTCCCCTTCGCTGAATCTAACACGTGTGGTTATGATGGGTCGGTGGCTAAATACTTTACAACCACCTGTAAACATTTGTAAACAGTTAAGGTGATCGTCTTTTAGAATCTTGGAACAGTGTATCACATCAGGTTAGGATCGATTCACTCATTTTCAGTATGCCCAGTCCAAGAATCGATGGAATGATCGACACATTATTAGTTTTGTTCGAATTTCTTCTAATTGTATAATGTTTTCCTTGTTTCTTATTTCGAAACAAATACAATTGTCCTGAAAATTTCATCAAAATTGATCAAAAGTACATTGGGTGTCCAGGTACTGATATGGAGAGCAGTATAGTATATACGAGACAAAGCAGATGCCGGGCGCAGAAGAATGCGGACATTTCAGGACAATTAGTTTACTGGCGTACGGATCAAAAATACTAGCTAAAATAATCTATAGGAGAATAGAGGAGAAGATCGAAGGGAGGGTGGCGGATAACCAAGTCGGGTTTACTAAAAATAGTGCGGCACGCGCGCAACGGTGGGAGGACAATTTACAACCTCCAAAAGAAAGAGAGGCGTGATTAGCGTAGACGGTATGGAGGGAATATTATCTAGATTCTAAAGACTACAGCAAGAAAAAAACAAAAATAATGAACTGCGCGAAAAGAGAGGATAGGAAAAAGATAAAGATCCGAATAGGAAGAGACACTTTAAAGTACGTAAAGGAATTTTGCTATTTAGGTAGTAAGGACGATATATTTCCAAGATACTTATAAAATCTAGGATAGCGCAGACTAAAACGACACTTGGGCAAAAGCGGGCCCTGCTAAGATCTGTGATAAATATAAAAAATGGGAAAAGACTGCTCAAAAAAGTACTTACGAAGGTATGGAGCGTAGCGATAGGCAGAGAAGACAAAAGTAGGACAGAAGCATTCGAAATGTGGTGCTATGAAAGGATAATGAGAACTAGCTGGATGGAGAGAGTAACAAACGAAGCACTCTTGGAGCTAAAAGAAGGAAATGTGGAAAACCGTACAGAGAAAACGAGATTAGGAGGATTAGTACAGCTAGCTATAGAAGGTAGGTAAGAGAGGCGTAGGACGACAGAAGCTTAATAACGTAGACCAAAGAGTTAGGGACGGAACGTGGGTAAAGGCAGTTGTGTAGAAATAAAACGGTTAGCGCAGAATAGAAAAGGATAGAGAACTAGTCCAATCAATCCTTTGATTGTGAACTTCGAGAAGAAGACGTACAGTTTTCACACTTATAATATGTAAGATTTCCGTCCGTGCATGCTTGTGGAACCATTATCAGAAGAAATTAAAAATGTGAATTTTTTTGAGACGATGGCAGTTTGTGCTTGCATAATTTTACTTTTGTATTTCGTAAATAATGATTAACGGTCGTTTGGGACTCCTACGAAGTTCCACCGACTGTTATAATCAGGTTTTTAAAGCATATAACCACTTGATTGCTTTGTATAATAAATCTAACTTGTATATTTAACAACCTATGGAATTTGAACTAGATAAAAAATCAGATTTTTGAACCATGAAATTTAATTCAGAATTTCAATAAGTATGCCAAATGTATGGGTTTCTTAAATCTTAACTACTGATTTTAGCTAATAAAAATGTGTATAAAAACAAGTTTTAAGAAAATCTACTTATTTATTCGAGAAGCAACAAAAATCAAGGAATGTGGTAGTCACATTTCAGACTGCCGGAGAGGCCTAAGAGAATTAAAAATTTTTGGAAAGATTTGAGTTAGTCGATGGCAATGGGTAATTCAATTTAAAAAGACCACAAATGAATCAAATATACAAAAGAGAACACAATATAATTTAGACTCTTTCAAAAAACAGGGCAAAAGAAATTTGAAGAAGAAACAGTGTAAACATGCATAGTCCTCCTCCATGCGGCTAAGGATGGTAAATGGAGTCCAGCTCTAGCATTAAGGGAAATAAAAATTCTAGATAAGGCTAACGTCTGCATGAGAAAAATTTAAAGTTTCGGAACAATAAAGATAAAAGAAAAACACATGATAGCAATAAACAAAAAAATTGCTGTGGCCAGCACAATACGCGTTCCAAAGTTTGGTTCCA